CACATAGAAACTGATGATGGTGGAAAACACCGAAACGTATTTTAATTGATAAATAGACAATAAATGACTGAAGCCCAGGAATTGATTTTGATTTGCTCTTTCCAAATCCATTCCCTTGCGGTGCTTCACATTGAAAGTTTCCATTCACTGCTTTAACTTCACCAGTCTTTCACAATCACAAAAAATTGCCTGCTTATGCAAGCCTGGATAATTCCAGACTTTTATCCGAAGCCTTTGCAGGTTTCCAATGAAAGAGCAGATGAATTTCTACGCGTTTGCAAGTCCATCAAGCAGCAGTTTTTCCGATGCGCTGAAATTCATTCAATAACGAGTTTAAGCGGGTCCAGCGGAAATGCGATCGGTTATTCGGCTTTGGGGAATCGAAGAATTGTTAGCGGAATGCCTCGAATGGGGTCATAATCTGGAACTGGAAAATGCCCACGTGCAGAATTGGTTCGAGCCAAGCACGTGACCAAAGAGGATAAAAAATGCATATGAAATTTTATGCTAAAGTTGAATGCACAAGAAAAATCTAACGAGATCCTGGCTGGGATTGAGCCCACGATTTTTGCAAATTGATGATTGAACTGCACAGATTTCACTCGATATTAGTGGAAACTTGGGGGGTGTTTATTGAATAAAAGTTTATTTATTGCGGAAACTCAAAGCGTTGATTTATGGGGCATCAGCACGTTACTTGGACCGACAAAAAAGCTCTAATCTCCATTACTTTCGCACCTCCTCTTCTAAAACGCAACTGAACCCACCGAAACGGTTTCAAAATCAACGAAAAGATGAATTTAAATTCGTATTACAGAAATATTTTCGTATACGGGCTACAATTGATCAAAAAATGAATATTTAATTTGAAACCAGCTGGTTTCTCTGCGGAACTCAAGGGCGGTTTAAAGCAAACAGTGGCGTTTGGCGAATCGGGGCATAAATAACCGAAAGGGTGCACAACGGCCCAGTAAAAACCGCAGAAATTTCACGATTTGCGGACGGTCTTTGTCCGAAACCAGAGCTTTATCGTGTTAAAAGTTATTTCATTTCGGTCTCGAACAACTCAGTTATTATTCTTCCTCTAAAATTCCCAAAGCGGTAATCAAGCGCGTGGTCAGAAAGCACTCGAAAAAATCACCATTGAACCATTGAAGAAATGTGCTTTATTTGATTAGGTTGTGGCCTAATTTTATTTAGATGTGCTTATTGAATTAGAACTTTTCTTTACTTTTTAAACCGTTGTTGGCAACTGGGATTTCGAAATTAAATGTGCCGGAAATCTATATATTTTTATATGCTAAGACACAGCGAACACAAAGTAAAGCGTTAGCCTTAGAGAGGTTTACAAACAAAAATTTACCACCAATTAACTAATCCATCTTTGCAACTGCTATATCTTCTGAACAGAGAAAAAGTTTCGTTTTTTGGGGATTGTTAGGTATGCTTGGCAACGTTGCAAATGGCACAATTTACAATCCTATTATCAAAATGCATCTAATATTTTTTATGATTTTATTTAGAAGTTTGATGTGCTCAATGAACCCGATGTTTGTGCGTCTGTCTTTTTAGAGGTCATTACGACTGATCGGATATTTCCAACCGTTCTTGCGTGCTTTAAAATTTGAGTCCCTGGAAATTTTGAGATTCCCTGAAAACATCGAGCACATAAAAAGTAAATTTCCATGATTTTCAATTTTGAAGCCCCAATTTTAGTGAAAAGCAATGACAATGCAGAACGTTAGCCAAACGAGGCTTTAAAAAATTCGTCTAAAATTCAAAAAGATGCAGTCTACTTAAGACAACTTGTACTAAACTGGCAAAATATAATCTTCTTGGAAATTTTTATCAAACTTTTGCAATGTTTAGTCAAGTGTTTTCTAAATATTGTAAAAATTGCAAGTTGAAATTCGCCTTGGTTTGTAAGATGCGATTTTTTTAAGGAGAGAGCGCAGGGGAGAAAAATCATTCACTTTGGACCTAATATTTTATTATTTTGAGACCCACTTGTACTAAACTGGCAGAAATCAATCTTTTTGCAAATTTAAATCAAACTTTTACAATGTTCATAGTCAGATGTCTTCTAAATATGGTAAAAATTGCAAGTTGAAATTCGCTTGGGTTTGTAAGATGCGATTTTTTTAAGGAGAGAGCGCAGTGGAG